GTTAACTCACCACAAGTTGTTCTCCTCTTCAGCTAGGCTTTATAATATTAAGTGCGGAAAGCGTCACCTTGTCACATCGGTTGCTGCCGCATATCGTAGTCTGCATTACTCCTCCGTTGTCATTTGTTATCTCTCTCGGCTGTCTTTCGGCGTCTTCTCTCTCTCTCTCTCTCTCTCTCTCTCTCTCTCTCTCTCTCTCTCTGTGTCTGTCTGTGTGTGTCTCTCTCTCGCCCTCTCTCTCTCTCTTGCTGTGTTTCACACAATAATATACTTTGTGCTTTCATATACGGTTTAACTTTGCATTGTTCTTCTGTCTCGCCGTGCTTGTTATACAACCGGGAGCATTTGCTCTAGGCGTTAATCTGCTATAACGCGCCGAGATGCCCGCGTTCCCAAATCCATAGCCCTAAGCTGTATATAATCATTAATGACAGGTTGTTACATACATCTCGGTGGTGTAAGGCCATGTAAAATTAGGGCGCGTCACTTCCCTAGTGAAATGGTGAGATACTGGATCTGCCGCCGGGCGATGCTCATCTATACTGCTGGCTGGGTTATGACTATACTTGCTCTCCCGTTTATGCGCATAAGCCAATAAGTGGTAATACCGCGGCTGATAGGTAATCAAACCATAAATATCCCGGCCCGTCCGATATAAATATATATCACAAAGCTCATATCGCGCCTTGATCTATAAATCTTAAATCTGATCTATAAATATCTATATTTATATTGTAAGCGGGTAAATCCCACACTCCAACGAAAGTGATGGCGATGCGGGAAAGCAATCGGTGTCAGGGGAATGTCATAAGAGGCTGCGAGCGGACTCCACATCAAGGGAGCCGACAGCGCAGGAGGGAACGCAAGAACCGGAAACGACGGTCATGAATCCCCGAATCCTTGCGGATTGTGACAGGCGGCCGCAAAGGTGCTGACCTGTAGATGACTGTGCTGACACCATGGTCAGAATCGGACCATGGAGTCGAGCCAAGTGCGAAAACGCTTATACCTCCAGGGGCGTGTACAGGGGGGGGGTTCAAGGGGTCCGGACCCCCCCCCTGCTCGCACAGAAAACGCATCTAAGGGGTCTAATTTCAAAAAATTTCTTCGCGTGCTCGCAAGTTTTGGTTACGGTTAGACCCCCCTCCCGGTACAAATCCTGTACACGCCCCTGACCCCATCTTATTCGGTAGGGTAATGTAGCAGTTGTAATACTCACCCCACCGTATTTAGTATGGCCGGTTGGCCAGAAAAGGGAGCTATAACGAGAGGTGACGTAGGAGAAGGAACGCCGTATAAATAGTGGAAGCCGCCGCCTCTCGGGGCTCTTGTACCAGCCACCCGCGGAGAAAGGTGTAGTGTGTAGTAAACGCTCTTGCTTTCGGTAGTGCACTGAGACCTCATGTATGTATGAAGAGATTGAGTAAACACCCGTGAACGTTACTTCTTGTCTTGTTGTATATCTATCAGTCTATTACAGACCTTCTACTACGGTAGTGCAAAGAACACGCCTACAATATCTCGCTCCTGCTTTGATAAAGTGAGTTATTAACTTTGATTTCAATTTAACTGCTGTTAGAGTTATCAATAATAATATCAGGAGTGTATCAATATTGATACACTCCTGATAATATTATAAAGCAGCGTGTGTGTGTGTGTGTGTGTGTGTGTGTGTGTGTGCGTGCGTGCGTGCGTGCGTGCGTGTGTATGTGCGTGTGCGCGCGCGTGTTATAATAATTATACGATTTTCAAGTCCAATTATGATCTGATATATCGTTTACCATACTACAGACACATACCTGGGAGTATAGTGCGTGCGCGCGCGCGTGCGAATGCAGAATCTTTATGCGATATACAACGTATAATACAATTACATCTAACTAAATAATACGAGAGAACAACAACCGTAATATGGCTGTGGCATACTATTATCACTATTAATTGATTGCATCCAGCTCCCCTCACACCGGGAATACAGCGCGATGACAATGTCTGCAGGCCTCTACCAAACCTACGTAGTTACACGTGTAGACATTATCAATACGTGCATTTCGGCGACCTAACTATACGCATTTTCACTATATTTCATTATTAGTGCTAAATGCAAAATTTTACTTGTGAAATTTCAAAATAATGTCTAGGTAGAAGTAGAGTACATTTTGTTCATAGTAAATCCACACACTTGCCCGGATTTATCCTCATCATGAAACAGATTTACTCTTATAAATGTATCTTTCATTATGAACCCGATACACATTTCAGCATTACAGTGTCTAAATCATTATCAATATAATGTTACCTGTGTAACGAGCAGCCCGCGGGCGCGTCTATCGGCGGGTGAGCCGCGGCTAGCGTAGCAATATATACTTACAGCGTGGATTCTGTCGTGCGCATATCTAGCCAAGATTTTATTGTACCAGCGCGTGTATTTCACCGCGGAAGCGAGCGACTATCCGTATGTAACTGCACACATACGGCGTGGATTCTGTCGTGCGGGATAGCCGCCCACGTGTATGTGCATCTCACAGCGCGGATGTTGCTGCGGACGCATAGCTAGCTAGAGTAGGGACTAGATCGAGTTGTTGTTGTATTCTAAGCTGAATTAATAACAGGGTAGTTACACGCCGGCTGAACATTCATCTGTTGACTACGTGTGGTCGCCCTGTTGACAGACACAAACTCACACTCACACCCACTCAAAACGCGTCGACAGCGGCTACAGAGCAACGGCAACGACGACGCGACGGACACTTACCCAACGCATGGACGGGTCGGGGTGGGCGGCCGTATCCGCCGACGACAGACTTTGTAACATTTTGCCATGATAATTGTGTGCGATCATACATAATGTCAATGTATGATCGCACACAATTATCATGGCAAAATGTTACAAATGTATACACGTCCTATACAATTTACACCCGACGGTATTTATGCGTGATAGCATTTTCCTCCTGTGGGAATCGTGTAAACGCCCGTGTTGCCCACACCAGAGATAAGCACGCAGTTCTTAACGCTTGCTGGAATCCAGACGAATCCAAAGCAATATGGCGACTCAAGGCAGTGAACTGCGCACAGTATCACCGAAGCGACACCAGGTCCTACTACGGGGCTTGTTGTTACATTGCGTGTTAATTCGTTCCCTGCGGACACATGGCTGTCGTGGAATCGCAATTCGATGAAGGAATCATCTGTTGTGTAAAAAAAACAATAATAATCTTTGATAAGTTTAAGTCTTCTACTAAAACTCGATGATCGAGTCTTCGTCAGGTAGATTAATGGACTGCATATAACGTGGCAATGACATTTTCTCAATCTATAATAGATGAATTGAAGCCTCTAAGAGAAATGCCTTCTAGACAATCACCCCGGACAATCCCGCCCCAGCCGCGGACAATCCCGCTCCAGCCGCGAACAATCCCGCCCCAAGCCACGGACAATCCCGCCCCCAGCCGCGCACAATCCCGCCCCAGACACAGACAATCCCGCCCCAGCCTCTCTCTCTCTCTCTTGCTGTGTTTCACACAATAATATACTTTGTGCTTTCATATACGGTTTAACTTTGCATTGTTCTTCTGTCTCGCCGTGCTTGCTACTATGAATCTCAGTCCACTACCATCGTCACTTCATCGACCATCGTAATTCACTTCCCTTCGTTGTCTTGTCTCTGTATTTTGTAAGCGTTTTTCGCAGGCGTTGGTAATCAACAACGTGCCACCTCTCTACTGCACAGTCACTTGTCCTGTCAGTCTCTGGTTTACTCTACAGATTAAATCCTTCCTACGAGGGAGTGCTGCTAGAAAATGTCACGTAGGTCACACATTGCATGACACCAAGAGTAAGATAATAACACATCTTATAATCCATGGGTTATTATCTTACTCTTGATGACACGTCATTGCGTGTTGCCAAAAATGTTTGCGAACGTAAAGTTGCGGCTTATGGCAGCTACATGATACGACGACGTTCTTTTTGTCGCGGTTTCCACGAAACACGGCAAATGCATCTAAAAAAAACACCATTAGGCCAGCAACAGACAATTCCATTTAGACGGTTTCAGTCAGTAAGTAACGCGGTACAGAAACTATTGACGCATTAATAATCATTCGTAATCTGTTATAATATTAGTTCAGGTTTTGACGTTTATTCTCGTTGTAGTTTCAGACTGTGTTCGCTGTAGTTTCAGACTGTGTCGCTTAACATAGTAATGATGCAGATCGTGCAACCGATTTTATAGCATCGCGTATTCCAGGCGCGGATTTAGGCCGGTTTGCACCGGTTTCCAGAAACCGGTCACAGGCTGGGTATTTTCAGAATTGACCCTAAAAATTCACCAGAATGCACCAAATATAGCCTAATTTTTAAAAAATTCCCGAGGGGGCATGCCCCCGGACCCCCCTAGCTGTGAGTAGAACTATGGAAACTGGTCACCCAAACCCTCTGGATCCGCCCCTGTATTCGATTGTCCTGATGGAAGCTACACTGTCCTTTAAGCGACTAGATTTCTTAGTTAGTATTTTAGTAAATAATGTTTATCTCCGAATCCGGAATCAAGGAGTCATCAGCTGGCTGTAGCGGTGCGGATGGGCAGGAACTATGTACCGATACAACGTCGCAAATTCAATCGACAATACCGAAGCGCTAACTGTTATGCAGCCGACGAAAACCGCTATGACGCATTGGATCTTCTGAGGAGCCGGGTTGAACTCATCCGCTAATATAGCTGTGCCATTCACCATCGCTGATAGCATATCCGCGCACGCTAAACTAATAATAAAGTTGTTCTTTTGCGTTCTAAAGGCCGGCCCACACGAGAGTTATTTTACTCAAGTAAAATGACGAATGTGCGCCGCAAACGTGAGTAAAATTACTCATGCGTCATTTTACTTGAGTAAAATAACTCTCGTGTGCGCCGGCCTTTAAGAGTATTTAAAATCGCTATTGTTATTGCAACAACAAATATGAACGAAGAAAATATAAGTCCGACTTTTACCACGAAT